AGTGGCAGATTAAATGAGATGCTCTGACCATGTGACTGAATTGTCCGTGAGCTGACTGTCAAGAGTACATCTTTGTGAAGATCATTGAACTTGAAATAGTACAGTATGAATTTAGTACACTTTAAATGCAAACTGCTGTGTTTTCCATGTCTTCCAGTTTAGTTCACTTCCCAGAATCATTTGTCTGTTTCCATGTTGTTCCTTGGAGAGCAGAGTTACGGTGGTTAGTTCCCAGTAAATTCCTTTACCAGCTAGGAGGGTTCAATCTCCCAGTGATGTAGTCCTGAAAATTGTCATGACTTCTGTTCTGCTGGCCGTATATTCTGGCCAGCCAGGTCGATCTGTTCTCTGGAACCGTCCTTGCTTTGATGACCTACAGTCCCAGACTTACCCTGAATGCTTTCACTGTTGTGTAACTAGTGTGCTGTATTCTGTATTGGCTGCCTTTAAAAAAAGTACAGGACAGAGAAGGAAAGCATACAAGACCCCAAGACTATTGGAGACGACAGGTTCAGTTTTTTCCTTTTGTCTACGATCTTTCTATTTTCTAGTCTGTCAGTAGGAAAAAGACATTCACTGGGTGTAGTGGCCTACACCTTTGATCTTAGTACTGGGAGGTGGAGGCAGGTAGATAGATCTCTTGAGTTTGAGGCCAGCCTGGTCTATATAGTGAGACCCTATGAGTTCATGAGAAGGTGCATGACTGCATTAAAGCTGTTTTACAAGAGGTAGAGATGTCCATTCCTACAGTGGTTTAGTGATTGTAGAGAATGAGATGGGCTTTAGAACCACTGGAATTGTCACAATGATGAATGGTTAAATAGGAAACTTGAGAGAAGCCATAGATAGTCACAGTGTTTGCTGTAGTCGGATGTGTGTGGATAACTGTTGTAACTGGGAATCCAGAGAGGATTTTTGTTTGTTTGTTTGAGTGCTGCTGTGATTGCTGGCTTTAGTGCTGTTGAACTCAGAACTTTTTGTACACCAGACATGGGTTTTGCCCCTGAACTATGTTCTCAGTTTTTGATTGTGGTTTTCAGAAAAAGGAAATAAGTCTATCATACTTCAGATACCTAACATGCACAAGTTCAGGCCCTTGGATAAAAGTGTGAACTCTGTAATTGTTAGATTGGAGAGGATGATGTTAGTATTTGTGTCTGTCTTGTTTTTCTTTCTGTTACTATTATAAAACACTGACCAAACCAGACTTTCCTTAGATTTCCAAGTCATAGTTCAATATTGAGGGTTCCCAAGGCAGCAACTCAAGTAGAATCAGAAGGCAGGAGCTGTGGGGCCGAAGTCTTGGAGGGATGCTGCTTGCTGACTTTCTCCCGTGACTTACTCAGCTTGCTTTTTTATATGATCTAGGACTACTTGCCCAAGGGTGCACTGGGATCTCCTGAATCAAGAAAATGCTCTAAAGGCTTGCCCACAGGGGACTCTGATGGAGGCAATTTGAAATAGGGTCTCTCTGTGTAGCAGTTCTGGCTGTCATGGAACTCACTGAGATCCACCTGCCTCTGCCTTCTGAGTTCTGGGATTAAAGGTGCCACCAGTGCCCCACCCTAGGGGCAATTCTTCAATTGAGGTTCTTTCTTCCTAAAACACTTTAGGTCGTGACTAGTTGACAAAAATTAATCAACACGGTATCTAAGAGACAGTCAAGGAAGGAAAGCAGAGGACTGAAGGAGAATTGAAGAAAACAGCTGAGATGAGAAGGCACAAATGGAGAAATTTGAGTGTCCTATGGATTTAGCAGTAAGGAGTGCAGCTGAAACTGAGGACAGTTTTGAGGGTTGATGCACAGAGAACAGGTAGGAGAGTAAAAGTGCCCATAGCAAATACTGACTTGTCAGTTGTGACTGTGGTGGGAAAATAAAGATTGCAGTAGAGAGTCCATCAAGGAGGCCAGTGTGGGAGACGAATGAACTGCAAGTAGAGGCATTAAAGAAAGATAGTGGTTGGGAGACTGCTGTGACCTGAGAAGGCCTTTCGGTAGTAGACGTCAGCTGATCTACATCTCTGAATTGATTTCAGGAAAGACTACCTTTACTTCAGGCAAAGGAAACTGGGCCATACACGGCCGAAGATGGGAGAAGGCAATGGACATATTGGGGGGGGGGGGTTGGTTCGAATGAGAATGGCCCCGTAGGCTCATATTTTTGAGTATTTGGTCCCTAGTTGATGACTGTTTGGGAGAATTAGGAGGTATGGCCCTGGTGAAGTTGTGTCATTGGGGATGGATTTAAGATCTCAAAAACGCAGCTATTCCTAGTGCCCGTTCTCGCCTCCTCCTTGTGTTGGGATGTTGCTGTTGTCACCTCACCTTTGCTTTACTGTCACGGACTCTCTGATCTTACGGAACTGTAAACTCAGCTGAAGGCTTTCTTTTATTGCTTGCCTTGGTTATGCAGTTTTAACGTGGCGTAGACAAAGATGAGTCTTTAGCAAACAGTGAAGAGATTTCTTAGGCTACTAAAAGGAATGTGAGAGAAAAGTGAGAATGGGGGCAGCGATGTATGTATTGAAATGTTGTGGAGTTTGTTTTTAGACCTTAAGGTGTTGGAAGCCATTTATGCTTTTTGAGTATTATAGGATTCTGAGTGTTTGAACAGAGAGAGGAGGGGGGATTGTTTTTTGTTTCTGAGTATCTTCTATGTAGCCATATTAGCCTAGACAAAACTAGAATATCTTCTTTTGTGCCAACGTAAACAAAACTCACTTCCTCTCCTCCTCTTAAAGGGATTCAGGTTTGGGTTGCCTTTTATTGCCCTTCACCACAGAGAATAAGCCCTTTGCTTTCTGGATACTTGCAGGAAGAAGCAACTCTTCAGTATGACTATAAATTCATAGAAATATGGCAAGACAGTGTTTGAAGATAGTCACCTAATTTTCAGGTGAAGTACTGTGACTAAAGAAGTTAATTTTGCCTGCAAATATCCAGTCTGCAAGCATTGAAATGCAGCTGAATGAAAACCAGGCATCCTGTCCCATACTGTCTCTTCTGTCATCTAAGCATTTCCTTAGACACTGTACTGATCTTGGAGCTTGGTATGCTTACTCAGTTTCTCCCCCTCCGCACACTTAATGACATGTACATGTTACTGTATACATACAGATCTTTGTATCGCCCCTCCCCAGACCCCTTGCTGTCTTTGTTCCCCCTCCATCCCCTCTATCCCTGTGGCTCATCCTTCTCTTCCTCCACTATAGTCCCCTCCTGCAGTCCTCTCTGCTACCCCCTTCTGTTACCCCCTCTTGTTATCCCCCACTGTACATAGTCTCTTTTATACATGCAAATTTAAATTTCAATCTAGAGTCTACATTTGAGAGAAAACATAGCCCATTGATTGATTGATTGGGTTTTTGTTGTATTTAATTTTTGGAGGTTTTTTTCTTAATGGATTGTAGATAGTGATCCCCTTTGGATATATAGTTGAAAAAGACTTCTCCCATTCTGTAGGCTCTTTTCACTCTATTGATTATTTTCCTTTGCTGTGTAGAAACTTATTATTGTGCAATACCATTTGTCAGTTCTTGGGATTATTTCCAATGCTATTGAATTGTGTTCTGTTCATTTCAAAATGTCAAGAGTATGTAGTGTTAGCTGTACTGGCATGTGCTATATAGATATATATATGTGCTTTACGTGTAAAATTCAGTTTGTTGATTCTTACTTTTTCCCCCCTTGAGACTAGGTTTCTCTGTGTAACAGCCCTGATTGTCCTGGAACTCACTTTGTAGTCCAGACTGGCCTTTCACATCTACCTGCTTCTACTGAGTGCTGGGATTAAAAGGTTAAAGTGTTCCATCACATCCGCCTCAGTGCGCTAATTATTAGTAAGTGTAGATTAACAGGGTCTCACTATATATCCCTACCTGGTCTGGAATTCTAAACCAGGCTAGCTGCAAACTCATAGAAATTTACTACCTGACTGAATTAGTTTTGAATTAATACAAGTAGCAAGAATATTTTAAATATTTAAGTGTGATGGTTGAAGTGTGTGGGACACTTTCCAGGACATTGTTTCACTAAGAATGACTCAACTGATGTGTTTTATGCTGAAATTGTTCTCATCTAATTCAGCCTGTTAATTTCAGTTGCTTTGCAATACTCCTTTATTTGAGATGAGTTTGTAAATCTTTTTGTATTCCCATAAGTCTCCTTTTCCTTACTTTCTCACTCCTAGATTCCAGGCTCTTCCGCTCCCATTTTGTTACTGCTTTCAGTCAGGCCTTATTACCTTGTAACCTTGGATTAAAATACCAGATGATATAAAACTGATTCATTTTGACTCTAGTATTTAGACCAATACTTTCCTATTTGATTGTCCTTTCTAAATAGCCTTTGCTTGTGATACATTTCCATATCTTGGTATAGGAGGTTGCCTCAGGATAGACCGTGAGAACATACTCTTAGATTCAAAATGTTTACTAAGAACTCTAGGTGGATGAACTCCTAGTTAAGAGGAATTGACCTTAGGGCAAGAGTTTCCAAATTGCTCCTCTTGACGCCAGCATCTTTGTCACCTTTAACTTGTTAGAAACATTTTCATTAATTTGTCTTAAGTCCTTAGAAGGTGACTGACTAAGACATGGTTAAATTTTAGATTTTTACTGTAGGAAACAATGCTGTTAAAAACAAACAAACAAACTTGGACTGGAGAGATGGCTCAGATGTTAAGAGCACTGGATGCTCTTCCAGAGGTTCTGAGTTCAATTCCCAGCAACCACATGGTGGCTCACAACCATCTGCAATGATATCTGGTGCCCTCTTCTGGTGTGCAGGCATACACACAGACAGAATACTGTATACATAGAAAATAAATAAATGGGGGGGGCTTTATTGATTTTTAATGAGTGGGGAGTTTGAAGAATAATTGAGTGTTGGGGAAATAAATGTGCTCTGTATTTTCAGGTGCAGAGTCTGTCACCTGGGGGAAAGTAATGGATGCTCATAAACAGCAGAGTATAATTGCTAATCTGGAAATTTCTTTCAGGAGGCAAAACCTTCAACTGAGGACTTAGGGGATAAGAAGGAAGGAGAATACATTAAGCTCAAAGTTATTGGACAGGTGAGTTTCATTATTTTTCTCATTTGACATTTTTCCAATGTGTAAAAACATGGGAAAAAACATTAGGTAGGATATGTTATTTAAAAATTGCATTTTCGGGGCTGGAGAGATGGCTCAGAGGTTAAGAGCATTGCCTGTTCTTCCAAAGGTCCTGAGTTCAATTCCCAGCAACCACATGGTGGCTCACAACCATCTGTGATGGGGTCTGGTGCCCTCTTCTGGCCTGCAGACATACATGCAGGCAGAACACTGTATGCATAATAAATAAATAAATTTTTTTAAAAAAAATGCATTTTCCTTTATTGTACATGTATCTGTTGGGGGTAAAAGAGGCAGATAATGTTTTTGAGACAGGGTCTCACTCTGTACTCTTGCTTGGTCTTGAATTTACTACACAGACCAGGCTGACTTCAAACTCAAAGATGTACTTGCGTCTTCCTCCAAGTGTTGGAGTTAAAAACATGTGCTACCACACTGGCATGTTGTTACTTCTTTTAGAAGATCGGAATTAGTGAAATGGTACACCTTTCACCATCACAGTATGATAGTTTTCCATCCTCTTCCAAGTGGGAAATCAATGTCACTGACAGTGTTATTTTTGGGGGAGGTCTGCTTACTGCGTCTAAATGTGTGTGTGTGTAGTGGAATCTAGGGCCTGGCAAAACCATATCCCCAGCCGTCGTCTTCTTACTCTTTTTTTTTTATTGCTTTGAGTGTGGTATATGGATGCAGCGAGTGCGCTCAGTTCCTTATGCTAGTGTCTGCTGTTAAGAGTGTGGTATATGAGCCGGGCGATGGTGGCGCACGCCTTTAATCCCAGCACTCGGGAGGCAGAGGCAGGCGGATCTCTGTGAGTTCGAGACCAGCCTGGTCTACAAGAGCTAGTTCCAGGATAGGCTCCACAGCCACAGAGAAACCCTGTCTCGAAAAACCAAAAAAAAAAAAAAAAAAAGAGTGTGGTATATGGACGCAGTGAGCGCGCTCAGTTGCTTAGGATGTTAGTGTCTGCTGTTACTCTTGATCTTACACCTCCCTTCCCCACTACAGGAGTTCCCTGACAGACATTATATGCATAATAAATAGCTTAAAAAAAGTTTGTTTTCTCTTAGGTTTGATACCCCCTAGGGACACTAGTTGGTATGAATGGGATAGTATGTTTTTTTTTTAAAGATTTATTTATTTATTATGTATACAACATTCTGCCTTGGTGTATGCCCGCGCGCCAGAGGAGGGCGCCAGATGGTTGTGAGCCACCATGTAGTTGCTGGGAATTGAACTCAGGACCTCTGAAAGTACAGCCAGTGCTCTTAACCTTTAAGCCATCTCTCCAGCCCCCAGTATGTTTTCTTTTTATTGCTTATAAGGGTTTGTAACAGTTCATTTTATTTTTTACAGTATTTTTATGGATATGATGTAATGAAAGAATGCTTTTGCTTGGCATACAAATTTATATTAATAATTTTGATACCTAAAACATCTTTGGTTTGCTATTTTTATAGTGAGTTGCTAAAATGTAATTTGGATTTTGACTAGATTGCTTTTAATGAAACTAGTTAGGAATGCTAAAAAGAATATTATGAGAAAACTGTAACAAGACGTAATTAAATAATATGGTTCAAGTTAGCTAAGTAGTGTAGAAAAAGAAGGAATAATGTTTCCCTTTATCTCCTTAGGATAGCAGTGAGATACATTTCAAAGTGAAAATGACAACACATCTCAAGAAACTCAAGGAGTCGTACTGTCAAAGACAGGTTTGTGTACTGTGATGTTAAATACAGCGCTTCCGTATGACGGTTGTTGAAGTGTACTCTGATTTCACCATTAGAAACTGAAGGGAAACACCGTAGTGTTGTTTGCCGTTGCTCATGCGTGGTTTTCCTTTTGTGACCCATTTCAGTTTTAGTAGGATATAGAAAACGTTTGAAAGTAACTCACTTTTACTGATTGCTCAGAAGAATATTTTTGATGGTTTGCATCTGTGTATAGCAATAAAGGCAACCCTTTTTGGTGATTATTGTGAAATTTCCCTGTGCTTCTATGAGGTTTAGGTCATTTATATCAAATTTAAATCTATAATTAATATATTTTCTTGGGGCCGGAAACACGATTCAGCAGTTAAGAGTACTGACTGCTCTTCCAGTACCCAGTTGATGGCTCATAACCATCTGCAGCTCCAGTCCTAGAGGATCTGATGCCCTTCTGTGAGCACTGCACACAAATGGTGCACACACATATAGGCAGGCAAAACACCCTATAAAAATAAGTACTCACCTGGTGGTAGTGGCACGTGCCTTAATTCCAGCATTTGGGAGGCAGAGGCAGGCAGATGTCTGTGAGTTTGACACTAACCTGGTCTTTAGAGCAAGTTCCGGGAGAGACTCTAAAGCTACACAGAGAAACCCTGTCTCGAAGAACAAGACAAAACAAAAAACAAAACACACAAAAAAAACCAAATTAAAAGTATTTTTTTCTTTATACATAATATAGATTGCTGCTAACTATTTAACATATTTTCAAGCATATATCAAGATAATTTCTCTCTTTTAAAAAAAAATCTGTATGGGGGCTGGAGAGATGGCTCAGTGCTCTCCCAGAGGACTTGGGTTCAATTCCCCACAACTACATGGCAGCTCATACCTGTAGTTTCAGGGCTTCTGACACCCTCACACAGACATACATGAGGCAAAACACCAATGAACATAAATTATATATGTAAAAGGATCTGTATGGTTGTGTACATTCATACATCTTATGCTCACAAATATTAAATAAAAATTGGGGGGGAAGTTCAAGAATTAATAATCTTTAGCTTCAGCTAAAAATGTTTCAGGATATCCAGGGCTACATAGTAAGACCCTGCCTCAAATACACAGGGGTGTGTGTGTGTGTGTATGTAAGCATATGGAAGAGTGTAGTTCATGCTGGATATGAGGGATAACTTGTAATCCCAACACTGATAGGAGGAGGTCAAGAATTCAAGGTTATCCTCCACTATTAAAGAAATTTGAGGACAGCCTGAGCTTCATGAAACCCTGTCTCAAAAAATTAAAACCAAAACAAGAAAAACAGTACATTAGAGATAACCAAGGTTGAAATTTTGCTTTGTTTGTTTTGAAGCAGGGTCTCTCTTACACAACCTTGGCTGTCCTGGAACTCATTGAGATAAGCCTGCCTCTGCCTCCCGAGTGTGGTTTTAAAGGTGTGTGCTACCACCAACCAGCTTTATTTTCTTTTATGCTAGCTCAGACTTAGGGGGAAGTGAATACAATATGGTTGGGAAGAAAGGCTTATTAATCATTTTGGGCTAAAATTCTTAGCTAACTTCTTTTATCTATAGGCCATAAGCTCCCTAGTTGTAAACTGAAGATGAGGTGGTAATACCTCTTGAGTCTTTACAAAGAGCTTTATTTATGACTGCAAGTAAAGTACTTGGTACAGGATAGCCTTCCTAACAAATAATTGGTTCTCATTATATGGTAATTATGGTTGAATTGGTAATCTAATTTTATGATCAATGTAGCTTGTTAAGCCTTTATGTTGTTTTGGTTTTTTTTTGTTGTTGTTGTTGTTGATTTTAGAGTATAATAGTTATTTAAAACCTAAGATTTTTACACACACTTTCTTTTTTTTAGGGAGTTCCAATGAATTCACTCAGGTTTCTATTTGAAGGTCAGAGAATTGCTGATAACCATACTCCAAAAGAAGTAAGTATGGTTTCTTTCTGAATCAAACTTTTGAAATAAATAAGATTTTGGATTAAACGGATGAGGATTGTAGCTTAGTGATAGAGCATGTGCTTAATATCCGTGTGTCCCAGAGTTTGATATCTCTAGTGCCAAAATAAAAGAGAAAAAAGTAATAGCTTTTAAAATTTGTATTTATTTGTTATGTGTATGTTCACATGCATGCCTGTTGATGAGGGTCATGACGCATATATGGGAGTCATTTCTCTACCATGGGCATCCTGCGATGCTGGGTCCAGTGTCTGTTGCAACATCCCAGGGACAAAAATAGCTTTTTCCTTGGGGCTCAGAGGTTAAAAATACTTTTTGCTCATGCATAGGACTTGGTTTCAGTTCCCATCACCCATATGGTATATCATCTGTAACTCCGGTTCCAAGGGATCTGCTGCCCTCTTTTGACTTCCTTGGGTACCATGAGCAAACATGATGTGTGTGTGTATAAACAAAAAGTATACATTTGACAAATACATTTTTGTCAAATGTATACTTTTTGTTTGTTTTTGTTTGATTTGTTTTTTTGAAACAGGGTTTTTCTGTGTAACAACCTTAGCTGTTCTGGAACTCAACCTAGACCAGGGTGGCCTCAGACTCAGAGATCCTTCTGCCTCTGCCTCAAGTGATAGGATTAAAGGTGTGTGCTACCACCACCCAGCTGAAAATAAATCTTTTTTGTTTGTTTGTTTCTCTGTACATTGTTTCTCTGTAGCTTTGGTGCCCGTCCTGGAACTAGCTCTTGTAGACCAGGCTGGTCTCGAACTCTTAGAGATCCGCCTACCTCTGCCTCCCTAGTGCTGGGATTAAAGGCGTGCGCCACCACCGCCCGGCCTGAAAATAAATCTTTTTTTTTTTTTTTAAAGGTTTATTTATTATTTATTATGTACAAAGTATTCAGCCTCCATGCCTGCAGGCCAGAAGAGGGCACCACATCTCATTACAGATGGTTGTGAGCCACCATGTGGTTGCTGGGAATTGAACTCAGGACCTCCGGAAGAGCAGTCCATGCTCTTAACCTCTGAGCCATCTCTCCAGCCCCTGAAAATAAATCTTAAAGGGAAATTTTTTTCTCTTAGGGAGATGAGGTGGCTCATTGCAATGGCTCAGTAAAGGCACTTGCCACCACCATAGTTTGCATAGTGAAAGGAGAAAACTAACTCCATGGAGTTGTCCTTTGGCCTCTACCCACAAGCCATGCACATTTGCCTGTTCTCCCCTTCATCTCATACATACCTCCATACACAAATAATAAAATGAATTTATATAAATTTTTAACAATTTCATTAGCATTAAATGCACTTTTGTGAATTCTTGCTGGTTTATCAGAGAGGGGAAATAATCTATTGAACTGAGATTTCCTTATGTACTTTCAAAAGTGCCGCTAAGAAGAGGGGTGGAGGATTGGCTAAGACCTCTATGGTCTTTCTTTTAAAGACAGACACATCTTACATTTGGTCAAGTTCTGGTACTTTGTTGATGGTGACCTCGGAGGACTTGGGGAATCTGGAGCAGTCCCTCAAGTCCGAGTATATAGTTCAACAGTCCTTTGCGTTTGTTTACAAAGTGTTTTCATAATCGTGATTAATAAAGTTACTTTGCTTTAAATAAGCCATTTTTTCTATTTAGCTATTACTTTTGATAAGTCGTGAAAAAAGTTGGAATATCTTTTGTGGCATTTAGAGCCATGTTTGCCATTGAAGGTCTAATTGACTTTGCTAGCTATTCTGCTTTATTAAACCACTTTTGATAGGAATACTACAGAGTGGAGCTGTATGTTTCTGAGTATGACATGGTGTCTCTCTGTTCCATTATGGGTAATGTTGGTTTTCATTGTTTGTTTGCTTTGAGACAGGGTCTCTTTGTACAGAGCCATTGCTGTCCTGGAACTCACAGGGATCTGCCTGCCTCTGTTAAATGATGATTGCCAGATCCATTCATTGTGGAGTTGCCGTATTAGGGTTCTCTAGAGGAACAGAACTGAAGAATATTTATGTAAAGGAAACTTATTAGAGTGCTGTTCCCGCAGTGCTGTCTACCAGTGGAAGGTCCAGTTCGTGAGGCTGGGACATCTCAGCTAGTTTTGAGTATCCTGAAGAAGTGGGCTGTTATACCAGTGAAGAAACGAGCTTTCCAGGAATAGTGGGCAAAGAGCAAAAACTTCCTTCCTCCAAGTCTTTTATATAAACTGCCACCATAAGGTAGATCTTCCCGTTTCTAGAGATCCAGGTTCAGCTAAACTGGGTGTAGTTGTGCAGAGGCAGGTGGGTCTCAGAGCTGGAGGCCAGCCTAGGTGGTCTGCATGTGGAGTTCTAAGGATGGTTGGGTCTACACAGAAACCCTGTCTCAAAAAAACAAAACCAAAGACAGAAGGAAAGAAGGACCCTCTCACAGGTGTATCCAGCCTCCTGGGCTTTAGTGACTTGCAGTTGTAATCATTTTACAAGCCTGCAGAGGTTTTTTTTTTTTTTTAAATGTGTGACTGTCCTTTAGATGTTGCCCATTTAAGGTACCTTCAACTTGGTACTTGTGTTGTTCTTGACTTTTCTCCATATTTTAAAGAAGTTTTTATTTTGAAATATTTTTCAGATTAAAGGGAAGTTACAAGTGCAGAATAAAAATTGCCATCTATGGCCAAGTGGTGGTGGCGGCGGCGCACGCCTTTAATCCCAGCATTTGGGAGGTAGAGGCAGGTGGATCTCAGTGGGTTTGAGACCAGCCTGGCTCCAAAGCTACACAGAAACCCTGTCTCAAAAAACAAATCCCCGTTCCCCAAAGAAGAAACAAAGCAAACCACTTCCATATTGTAGAGTGAATAAGCAGAGTGTCCCTCCCCTCCCAGTCTGGGCCAGAGCAGTCTCACGGCTTTGCACATGGCAGGCAAGTGCTGTTTTTGTTGAATGGCTTGATTCAGGTTTTTGTTGTTTGTTTTTTTGAGACAAGGTCACACTAAGTAGTTTTGACTGTCTTAGAACTCATTGTATAGACAAGGCTAGTCTCAAATTCACCAGGATCTGCCTGCCACTGGCTTCCCTAGTGCTGGGATTAAAAGGTGTTCCACTTCCCAGGTGTTGGCCTCACGGGAGAAGAATTTCAGCCTGGGGGTTATTTCCAGGTGACACTTGGATTGTCTTGTACTTTAAAATAGTGGCCACATAGTTGCAGCCGGTGTAAAAATGTTGCTTTTTTAGTTCAGTGTTAACATATTTCCCTTTTTTTTGCAGCTGGGAATGGAGGAAGAAGATGTGATTGAAGTTTATCAGGAACAAACGGGGGGTCATTCAAGGGTTTAGATAATTCTTTTTATTTTTTTTCCTTTTCCCTTAATCCTTTTTTATTTTTAAAAATAGTTCTTTTGTAATGTGGTGTTCAAAATGAAAATTGAATACTGGCTCTCCATCTCTTTAGAACATCTGGTATTCTGAATTCTAGTGTTCAATATTCATTACTGGTTGTTTTTGTTGTGCTGATTTTTGGTGATCAGACCTCAGCTCCCTTAATATTGCCCTTCATATTTTAAACAATTTCATATGTGCACAGAGAGGCCACCCTTTTCAGGACTGTGCATTTTCAAGTTTGTGATGATAAAAAGATGGACCAGTGGGAGCTTTCCTATGACCTTCCAGTTGGCCCTGAAGTTCCAGCATGCAGTTGCTTCACGCCTGGACTGTGGTTTTCAGTGGGAGATGGAAGGTCTTCAGAGACCTGAACTGTGGGAAAATGACCTTTCCTCAGCTTGAAGCTACTTTTAAAATCTGAGGGTCTGGACCAAAAGAAGAGCATCACGTTTGTAGTCAAGATGACAGATACAGTGAGAGTGACAGCTAACTCCAGGATGGCTTCACCAGAGAGAAGAGTATGGCAGGCTGTCTGAAGATCCCAGGAAAGCTGTAATTTCCATCAGCAGTTAGTAGGAAAGTTACTCTTGCAGAAGTGTACGCAACAGACACTGCTCCTTTTGATTCTGTTTGTAGTTTTTGGCCTGGGACATGGGTTTTCAAGGGACATCGTCTGTACCAGCTTCATTAAAATAAACAATATTTGTAAAAACCGTACGAAAGTCCCTTTTATTTTAGTTTATTTAGTTTTGTAGGGAGAAAGATGAAAATGTCCCAGATAGGGTTTTCTTTAGTGCTGTACAGTGGTGACCTTAATGACTTGAAGCAGTGGGAGCTACTGGTGTACCTCCTGAATCAATCGTTTACTTATGATCACAGTGCCTTTTTAAAAACTCGCTGTCAGCCGGGCGGTGGTGGCGCACGCCTTTAATCCCAGCACTCGGGAGGCAGAGGCAGGCGGATCTCTGTGAGTTCGAGACCAGCCTGGTCTACAAGAGCTAGTTCCAGGACAGGCTCCAAAACCACAGAGAAACCCTGTCTCGAAAAACCAAAAAAAAAAAAAAAAAAAAAAAACTCGCTGTCAGGTGGTAGTGGCGCACGCCTTTACTCCCAGCACTCTTGAGGCAGAGGTGGGTGGACCTCTGAGTTCGAGGCCAGCAGGACTGTTTCACAGAGAAACACCACTGTCGTGTCTTTTCTGATTGTGCTGTTCTTGGATGTTACACATAAACCATTACTGGGTGTTTTGTTTTTCCTTTTCGAGTATTTTTTTTTTTTTTTTAATATTTATTTATTTATTTATTATGTATACAATATTCTGTCTGTATGCCTGAAGGCCAGAAGAGGGCGCCAGACCTCTTTACAGATGGTTGTGAGCCACCATGTGGTTGCTGGGAATTGAACTCAGGACCTTTGGAAGAGCAGGCAATGCTCTTAACCACTGAGCCATCTCTCCAGCCCCCTTTTTCGAGTATTTTTAAAATCCCAGTGAATTGGGGGCTGGAGAGATGGCTCAGTGGTTAAGAGCACTGGCTGCTCTTCCAGAGGTTCTGGGTTGAATTCCTAGCACCCACATGGTGGCTCACAACCATCCATAATGAGACCTGGTGCCCTCTTTTGGCCTGTAAGCATACATGCAGGCAGAACACTGTATACATAATAAATAAATACATCTTTAAAAAAATTCCAGTGAGTCGCAGAACTATATATATATGTGTACATCCAATTTCATGTCATTCCAGATACCGTGCCATCTGGCTACTTTAGCAAATAAACCTTTCTGAGATTCATTTTATAAACTGCTAACAGCTTATATACCCTTCCTTTTCAGGTAATTTGCTCACAAAGAAGATTGCCTGAAACTCACATTTGACCCTATCTTTAAAATTATTTCTATTGTACAAAATGGAACTTTTAGACTCCCCTGGCATTTACTGTTATATTCTTTAAGTAGTAACTGGAAATTAGGTTCAATTGTAGAAAATCTTGAGTTTGCATCATCGGTCAAGCTCAAGTAACAGATTTGATTGGTTATTTGAGCTTTTCAGAATTCATGAATATATGAAGGCTCAGCATTTAGTGGTGGAGCTTAATGGTAGAAATAATTTTTGTTTTGGAGGGTCTTCTAAAGTACACTCTACTGTTGACCTAAAAAACACCCTTGACTGATAAAGTAGTACTGTTAAAATAGACACTTGGGAGCAGAAGTGTAATAGATAATACTAGGAAAGGACCCTAAGTAGTCTATCTGGTGCTTCAGTGCGGTACCCTAAATTTGCAAAAGGGAGAAAACATGAGCAGTAATGCTTTCACGCATGTTTGTTCTTGAGTGTGTGTTGATTGACAAGCGTCAGAAAGAGACATTTAAGTTTACTATGATCTCATCCATAGTGTTTGCCATTTTCTGTTTTTCGTGAAACAAGGACTTGCTTAGTTCATGCAGTACAGAATGGAAAAATTAGCTAAATTCCTAGGCTGGAGAAGTAATTCCTGTACAAAGCAATACCTTGTGGGGCTGGAGAGATGGCTCAGTGGTTAAGAGCACTGCCTGCTCTTCCAAAGGTCCTGAGTTCAATTCCCAGCAACCACATGGTGGCTCACAACCATCTGTAATGAGGTCTGGTGTCCTCTTCTGGCCTGCAGACATACACACAGACAGAATATTGTATACATAATAAATAAATAAATATTTAAAAAAAATAAAATAAAAGAATTTACTACCACACACAGTGTGAAAGAAAAATAAATCTTAAAAAAAAAAAAAGCAATACCTTGTGAGTAAATGCAGTTCTTTACCTGTAGGCAGTGTGATGATTAAATTTTGGTTGTTAACTTCCCTGGGCTTAAAGTCACTCTGGGAAGATTTCGGGTGTGTGTCCAGAAAGGTTTGAGGTGGGAATTCCTACCCTGGGGGTACTGCCACTCTGTGAGGTCCAGGGTTGAGTAAGAAGGATAAAGTGAGCCAAGAGCCAGCATTCATCCCTGACCAGATGCTGATGCAGATGCAGGGTGACCAACTGCTTAACTCTAAGGTGCTTTTTGGGGTGTATGTGTATAGTTTTGTTGTAGTAATAAGAAAACTAAGACAAGTATGGATCAAAAGTTAGGAAAATCGGGCTGGGGAGATGGCATAGTGGTGAGGGGCACGGGCTGCTCTTCCGGAGGACCTGGGTTCAGTTTCAGCAACCACATGGTAGTTCACTACTGTAACTCCAGGGGATCTGATAGCCTTATACAGACAAAAACACCAATGCTTGATTTAACATCCTTTTATGTTGTTTTGAACAATTTCTTTTACTATTCTGATACTTGGCCTCAAACTCACAGAGATCCACCTGCCTCTGCCTCCCAGGTGCTGGTATTAAAGGTGTGGACCGCCACCACTGCCCGGCGAGACAGGGTTGGCTTCTTTTTCTTTTCTTTTTTGGCTCTCTGGAACTAGCTCTGTAGACCAGGCTGGCCTTGATGTCTCTTCCTCCCATGGGCTGGTGCTGGGATTAAAGAGCACCACCGCCTGTGATGTGTTGTTAAAAGGGATGTTTACTAGACATTTTTAGAACAGTTGCTAAATGACTTAAAGACTTCGGATAGGATGATGTCATAGAGTTTTATGTGTAGGTTTTTTAAGGCACAGTTGGGAATAAAATCTTAAGATTTGTTCTCAAGGATCAAAAATAGCATTGGGATTTCAGAGTTAATGAAATAGTTGTATTTCTTTGCTGATGTAGCCCCCGGCAACTACCTGTGGCCATGAACATTTAACGGTGAGTAGTATGAGGGAAGCATGTTTTGGGTTCCACAGCTATAGCCTTGTTTAAACATGCCACTCTTTAAAGATTGAGAGGATTTTCACGGAACAGCCCCCTTTGCTCAAGGGAACCTGTATCAGGTGATCCCAAACATGCCTTTTCAGAAGACATTTGTTTTAAATTCCCCATGATGAAGTTGTGCTTTATAGAGGGATTTAATATATGATTAACTCCTCTTCACTAATCCAGAGTTATTGCATGACAAAATAATGTCCATTCACCATCAACTCTTGAACACACTCAAATACATACAGTGTCTAAGACTGTTGGTGTCTCCCGCTGGAACTATGGAATGGTTTAGCACCAAGGCTTTTGAACTTAATGTGGTCCTAGAAACACAAAAGGATTTAAGTAAGTGGTAAGTTATTGGGTTTGTGTGTGTGGAGTGTGCAGGAATGCTGGGAATAGAGAGGTTCCAGTCCAGGGTAAAGAAGAGAGGATGGCTGGACGGCTGGGCGGTGGTAGCACTAGGGAAGCAGAGGCAGGCGACTGTCTGTGAGTTCGAGGCCAGCCCGGTCTATAGGGCGAGACCCCAGGACAGGCTCTAAAGCTACACAGAGAAACCCTGTCTCTAAAAGTGGGAGGTATGGGTTGAGGGAAATCAGATGAAATGGACTAATTGAGCTCAGGCCCGAGTTTTATTATAGAAGTATAGCTTTTTCTGTCAGCAATTCTCAACTTACTTTTTTGTTTTCTTCTAGCCTTACGGCTTGGGGATTTGTAGGAACTGGAAATATGAGTAGACCCATGGTCTGGAAATGTTCTGTGTCCACTGCAGACCGCTGGCTTCCTTTAAGAGTTCTTGATGAAAACGAAGCTGTTTCTCCAAAGCTGCTTTTTGCCTAAGGAGACAACCCACCCCAGTTCCAGAAATGATTTAGCATTCAGTCTTTTTATTTTATTTTATTTTTTTTGATTTTTCCAGATAGGGTTTCTCTGTGGCTTTTGGAGCTTATCCTGGAACTAGCTCTGTAGACCAGGTTGTCCTCGAGCTCACAGAGATCCGCCTGCCTCTGCTTCCTGAGTGCTGGGACTAAAGGCGTGCACTCAGTCTTTTTTTAAAATTTATTTATTTATTAAAGATTTCTGCTTCCTCCCCGCCACCGCCTCCCTTTTTTTTTTTTTTTTTTTTTTTGCATTTTCGAGACAGGGTTTCTCCGTAGCTTTTGGTTCCTGTCCTGGAACTAGCTCTTGTAGACCAGGCTGGCCTCGAACTCACAGAGATCCGCCTGCCTCTGCCTCCCAAGTGCTGGGATTAAAGGCGTGTGCCACCACCGCCCGTGCACTCAGTCTTATAAATTGGTAGAGTTTTGGATTTGGGTTGTGGGTTTTAGTGGAAGATCATACTCTGTTCATTTAGTGCCTTTACATGAGACATTTGGACATCATGAGAGTCCTATTAGGAAGAGGGGAAGTGGTAATTCCCAGTTCTTAAACTTGTGTTGTTGGAAGGGATTCCTTTGCTTGTTTGCTTGCTTTATTTAGGTTTTTTTTTTTTTTTTTTTTTTTTGAGACAGGGTCTCCCTGTGAAGCCCTGGCTGTCCTGGAAACTCACAGGCTTAATCCCCTGAGTGCTAGGATTAAAGTGGACCCCCTTGCTTTAGAGATGAGGAAACAGCCCAGAGAAGTTAAAGTACAGGGGCGGATGTCCAGGTGGAGATGAAGTCAGGTCGGTTGGCACTGGGTTCTAGCTCTTGGAGGAACGAGATGGTCCATTACCCCTTTAGTTGCTCAGCTACCTGAACTGGTTTTATTTACATAATCGTTCTAGTACCTCGATAATGCCTGTCAGTTTTTCATGGAAAGTTGGGGTTCTAGGAGCTTGCATTCTGTCGTACTACTGCTACGATACGTGGTGTCTAGACTATTGAAGCTGAATTAGGACTTTTCTAATAACCTATTTTGTAA